GAAATGAAAATTGTGATGATTTTTATGAAAATTATTATTTTTTGGAATTGAGCATGATTGGAATGAAAATGAGAATTTCATTGTTTTTCTGGAGTTGAGCATGCCAATATGAAAATTTTCGGTTTATTTCTGAAATTTGAGATTGATTGTGAATTACGGATTTTTCTGTAAATCTTGCATGGTTTTGTCTCGGATATAGTCATGATTACTGACGCCCGCCGGTGGGAGTTTGTAAACGCTGGTACATGTCGACATGTTTACTGATATGATCGGTCCATTCTGTAATCCTGCCAATGGGATAATACATTAGTAATTACTGATGCCTGCCAGTGGAGTTTGTTAAACACTGGTACTACTGACGCCTGCCAATGGGCGAATACATTGGTAATTACTGACACTTGCTAGTGGGAGTTTGTTAAACACTGGTACTATTACTGACGCCTGCTAGTGGGAGTTTGTTAAACACTGGTACTTCTAAACCCTGCTAATGGGGTTAAACATTGGTTATTACTGACGCCTGTCAGTGGGAGTTGTTAAACATTGGTACCACTACTGACGCCTACCAGTGGGAATATGTTAAACACTGGCCATGACTTATAGATGAGACTACTACTGATTTTTTTTCTGCATTAACGGTTTATCATTGAATGGTTTGCTATTGAACTGAATCTGATTCTACATTAACGGTTTGCCATTGAATGCTTTGCTATTGAACTGAATCTGATTCTGCATTAATGGTTTATCATTGAATGTTTTGTTATGTGAAACTGTTTATTAGGCATGCTAAAATTTTACCCAAGGGCTATCCATATTTACTTATTGAGTTATCTCATAATTTTTCCTTGTCCACCATTTCAGGAGACGAAGTCAAGGATGAGAAAAAACGAGGGGAGTGACGAGTTAGAAGGATAGTCATCTTGAGATTTGACATAGATTCTAGATACATATACCATGCTCTTGTAAGTTAGATTTTAATTGGAAATTTTATGGTATCAAAACTAATTTTGTTGAGTAAGTTCCAAACCTTGTGCACTTGTGGGACCCATCTTACAAGTGCACAGCGTCTGCCACGTCTCCGGATTTGGGTTCTGGGGCGTGACACTATGTCTGCATCTACATCACAGCACCTCTCTCTCCTACCCTCCACTTCTACCATAGTGATGGGTACACTATCACCCCCAACTCCAACTACCTCACCTCCTCCCACCCCCTCCACTGTCCTTTCCGAACTAGATGGACTGCTCTTTGAGTCCATCCCACCATACTCCAAAGGCATTACCTCACTTCTTACAACACTTACTATTTCTTCTGAAGACATTTCCTCAATGTTTGCATAAAGTAGGGGAGGAATGAAGTCAAGACCCCTTTAAAAAAAAAAAAAAAAAACTATACACTTACTATTTCTTCTGAAGACATTTCCTCAATGTTTGCATAAAGTAGGGGAGGAATGAAGTCAAGACCCCTTTAAAAAAAAAAAAAAAAAACTATAACGCACACTCAATATCATTCTCACTCCCAACCCTAACTTCCTTCAGAGGACTCAAAATCAAACACAAAAAGGGAGGAAGAAGAGTGACACTTCATTAAAACCAAAATCAAAAAATCATATACATTACCTAATTTCAATTTCGAAAACTTGATGTAGAAATCCACAAACGACGCAGCAGTCCAGGCGTAGGAAACACACAGCAAAGTTTTCACAGAAATTTTGTAGAAAATATAATGAAAGTAAACTTCTTTTTACAGAAAAATGACTATTTATACCTCAGGGCAAAATTAAATCTCAACGGCTGGGATTAGTTTAATCTTATGGTCCTTATTCACGCCGTTTCGAATTCAACTGTGTAACCCTAATGGGAGCCATTTGAATTCGACGATTCGTTTCCTACTCCGTTTGTCTCACTGTCACAGTTACTTTTTTCAGCCTGTATTAATTGTACACGTTTTTCGACAAACAGCTGTCATGTCACATAATAACCCTACGTTAGACTTTATAAACGGGCCCACTTACGCTCACCTCAACACTTCTGTTCACTTTCACAATTATATTTTTAACTTACAAGTGTTTCACTTCGGCCCAGGCCACTGTGACTGTTTGTCACATATTTTACCTCGGCTCAAGCCATTGTGACTATTTGTCACATATTTTACTTCGGCTCAGGCCATTGTGACTCCTTGTCACATATTGTACTTCGGCTCGGCCACAGTGACCCAGTGTCACATGTTTCACTTTTTATCGCGGCTCCGGTCACAATGACTCTGGTCATTATATTTTATCACAGCTCTGGCCACTATGACTCCGGTCATCATTTTTTATCACGGCTCCGGCCACTATGACTCCGGTCATCACTTTTTATTACGGCTTCGGCCACCATGACTTCGGTCATCATTTCTTACTATGGCTCCGGCCACATTGACTCCTGTCACTATTTTTACCATGGCTATGGCTACGGCCACGGTCGCTCCAGTCACATTTTATTTTGGGCATGGCCAAATGACCCCCTGTCACATACTTCATTATTAGCTATGACCATACATGCATTTGAGTTACAGATTTTTATTTTTACTTTTACTTCTATAACTCATCTTTAATATTTTTATCCCCCTCGCTTTTTATTTCTACACTACCCCCATTATCTCTAACAACATCATTCACAAGTGAATGACTTCGGGGGGGGGGGGGGAATAGTGTAAGGATAGGTCCGAGGTGCCCAACCTCGGACGTACGCCAGTAATTCCTTTATAATTGAAGTGAAGGATAAATCCAACACTTCTCGCTCAAACAGCTGCATAACAACGACAATAAGCGTGCCCACACTTGATTCCTTATAATAAGCTGCACAGCAGTTACGATGGACATTCTCACATTTGAATATCTCTCAATTTCTCGGTCCCGAAATAACCGTCTGGAGAGACACGTCAGACTCCGATTATCTTACTTGGCATGCCACGTGGGTTCCTCACTGAAGCCTATAAATACCCCCAGGGATCATGTCAAAAAGGTAATTGAAACTATCCTAAAGCTCCTTTTTCATTAGTCCAAAGATAGACCCGATTCTTGCTGACTTAAGCATCGAAGTGTCTACCCTAAGGACCCACCTCGAGGCTTTGCAGGTTCATCCGAAGTGAAGATGCAGATTCAAGAAGGATCTTTGGTTTGGTGCAATTACAGGTCTGTTTGATACAGCGGTTAAAAGTCAGTAGATAGCGAATAGTGGTAGCGGGTGGCGGTTAGCGGGTGACAGTTAGCGGATGACAGTTAGCGGATGGTTAGCAGATGGTTAGCGGATGGCGGATAGTGTAAAGTGGGTAGCGGATGCTAAATAACGGATTCGATAAATATAACTGTTTGGTATACAATAGTTAACAGTTGTTGTTTAACATTAAAT